CGAGGTCCAGGGGCCGTGTGCAGACCAAGTTCGAACTATAAAACTCTCCCATAGACTGACCGTTTAAGCCCTGATGATGTCAGCAGAATGCTGACGAAAGCTTGGCGTTTGGTACTGTAACATTAAACTCCTAGAGTTTGATTATTTTACCCTGGTGTTCGTTTTATTTTATTTGTTTGGCATATATATATATATATATCCTGTATACCCTAACCCTACTGTATACCTTAACCCTAACCCTAACCCTAACCAACACACAAAGGCCTGAAAATAACAAAAATCACTCCAATCCAATTCATAATTAATCACATGATCCAACCATTGTGCCAACAGTTGGATACATCTGGTAGTCTTTCAGGAAGAACAGGCACACTTGGAGATTAGAACAGAAAACCACAAGCTCACTCATCTGGTACGTACAGAGGGCCATCTTACATATATCCAGGGCTTTTTTTCTCATAGAACACCCAGAATGAAGTTCCGGCACCTTTTTTGGATGGAACCTTGTAGGGTAGGCAAGGCGGGTTGTATGACGTGTGTGAGTTCCAGCACCTTTTTTTTTTTTTTTTAGAAAAAAAGCACTGCATATATCTGTCCTGCTCTGATGTTCTTAATATTCAAGGAAGCAAGGAAGGCTTACTTATTTATAATCTTCACATCAGTAAGTAACAAAATATTTATGGGTAGTCAACAAATTTTAAAAAATACAGATATAAACTCAGAGGCAGATTCACAGGTTTCAAACATTTTCCCAGTGATCAAATACAGGTAGTCTTTGACTTACAACAGTTCATTTAGTGACCATTATAAGTTACAATGGCACTGAATAAAGTGACTTACGGCCATTTTTCACTGTTATGACCTTTGCAGCATCCCCATGGTCACATGGTCCAAATTCAGACGCTTGGCGATTGGTTCATACTTATGACCATTGCTGTGTCCCAAGGTCATGTGATCACCTTTTGCAACCTTCTGACAAGCAAAGTCAATGGGGAAGCCAGTTTCACTTAACAATCGGGTTACTAACTTTATCAACTGCTGTGATTCACTTAACAACTGAGGTAAGAAAGGTTGTAAATTGGGGCAAAATTAACTTAACAAATGTCTTACCTAACAACAGAAATGTTGGACTCAATTGTGGTCATAAGTCGAGGACTGCCTGTATTTCATGGCCATGACAGCAAGTATTTATTTTTTCTTAGGGAAACAAACAGAGAATCCCAGTTCTCATATTTTTCCTATAATGTTATTGCCGATAAAACAAATAATAATTACCAAAGAAAAGTTCTATAAATAAACGTTTTAATTTGTGCTTGCATAGCTCAAACTAGCAAAGCACCGTTATCTCTTCATCAGAATTGCCCAGATTTTCTGGGAATATTTGAAAGTTTTTCAAAGAGTAAATTAGGCTGCAATACATGCATATGTTTTCTAGAGTACTTTTTTAAAAATGTTATCAGTTTTGCAGCTAAGTGGTCTTCTCTTTCTCCAGTATTTACTCCAATGAGTTTCAACATTTAGTCCTATGCTTGGACAAATTACTTAGGAAATTTGTATAGAAACTAATCAGTTGGAAAAGTATTCAGTTTAAGGTTTCCTGATGTCAGTGCCTCACTTGCCAACACTATACCAGATAGCAAATCCAGCCAAAGGATGGACACAATGAAAAATGTGTGGATGCTTGCTATTTTCAGCACAACTATTAATTTTTCAGAGAAAGAGGGGAAAAGCTAAATCAGTGATAATGGACTGCAGTGTTATCATTTCTGGCACAGGTGGTTAAGGAGAAATACAACAAAAAAATAAATTCAGGATTTTGCTATGGATACTAATCTAAAAATTACTCTAAAGCGGTTTTCCACAAGTGACAGGGATGTAATTCGTAGATTTGCCAGACAGTAATTATGGAAGCTATAGCCTTAACAAAACTGTCTGGCAATTGATTGAAGAAGACAGCTCTTCAGATTAAATTCTTTAACTATTTATACATCAGTAAATTAGTAAAACTACAATCCATTGGTATGCTCTATTGTGCAAGCTAATTTAAAATCTCTAGGACTTGCACATAAATTCCAATAAAGATTGCCAGTAAACTTTCCCACTGGACTGTGCTCCCAAACAGTTATCATCATCAAATGCTTAGCATTTACACAAAACTTGTAGGCTATTCAAAACAGTTCACCTCCATTAACACTCAAGAAATGGGTCAGAATTAACCCTCTATAACAGAAAGGAACATTAAGGTGAACATTTACTTTGCTTTAAAGCAATTTACGGCAAAAGCAGGATTTTAGTTCCCAGCTCAGATTCTTATATACACACTGCACTAACAGAATAACAGAGTTGGAAGGGATCTTGGAGGTCTTATAGATCAACTCCCTGCTCAGGCAGGAAACCCTATACCAGTGATGGCGAACATTTAGAGACCGAGTGCCCAAAAACTGGCCCTGCCCCCACTCCACCCCCTGCCCCGCCCCTGCTCTGCTCCCCCATCCCCCACCCTGCCTGCCCGCAGGGCCACTCACCACCTCCAGGGCCCGCCGCAGATCGCCCAGATAGCCCAGCAGCGCTATGGCGGTCACGCCTTCTGCCCGTGCCCTGCAGCATCAACTGTGCACGATGGGGTGTGAGGGCAGAGTCTTGTCTACATTGCCTGGCTGCCATGTCCTTGGCTGCGCTGCTCATGTGGGCCACACTCAGGAGCGACTCTCCTTCAGGGGGGCTGTTGGAGAGGAGGGGGTCGTGGGGAGAGGTGAGGCTGAGGCAATGGCACGTGTGCCCACAGAGAGGGCTCTGAGTACCGCCTCTGACACCCGTGCCATAGGTTCGCCACCACTGCCCTATACCATTTCAGACAAATGGTTGTCCAATCTCTTCTTTAAAACTTCCTGTGTTGGATCATCCACAACTTTGGGAGGCAAGTTGTTCCACTGATTAATTGTTCTGTCAGGAAAGTTCTACATTGCTTCTCTCCTTGATTAATTTCCATCCATTGCTTCTTGTTCTGCCTTAGGTGCTTTGAAGAATAGGTAGACTCCCTCTTCTTTGTGGCAACCCCTGACATATTGGAACACTGCTATCAGATTACCCCTAGTCCTTCTTTTCATTAAAGTAGACATACCTAATTCCAGCAACCGTTCTTTGTATGTTTTAGCCTCCAGCTGCTTAATCATCTTTCTTGCTCTTCTCAACATCTTTTTACATCGTGGTGACCAAAACTGAATGCAGAATTCCACGTGTGGTCTTACCAAAGCATTATAAAGTGGTATTAACACTAGCACTAAATGTATTTGTGTATAAGTACAGATCAGCACACACAAACATATACAGTGTCCCACTATTTTCAACCATAGACAGACTTAAAATTCTGAGATCATAAATTCCAACATAATTGTGTGGAAAGGCATCAGGTTCTGGCACACTTACTTATGAACTCCCTCATACAATATCATTTGAATGTAGACTCTGATTTTGTCCAAGAAGCTGCTAACGGAAGGATGCTGTGAAGGAAGCTGAAAATTCAGCCAACTTTTCTCTTTATGCAGCTCCTCAAGTCTTCTTCTAAATTTATCAGCTAGGAAAACAAGGGAGAATTGCATTATCAAATACTATACAGTATGTTACAATTTGTCTGAAATCAAATGACAAAGTGATATTAGATATGCAGAAAACATTTATTCGTGAAATATTTTAACTGATTTTATTTTTTAAAATGGATGCAATTTTTAAAAACAGACCTGAAAAATGTTTGTCGACAGACTCGACAGCCTAGACTTATGTTATTTAATTTCCTGATTCCAGCAATCAGCTTCAGTCTAGTCCTTTCAAATATAGGATTACTTTAGTCGCTATATCACATGACTCATCATATCTTTCTATGGTGAAATTTGAAAAGCACATCATCACTGATTCAATATTGCTACTAGTATACAGTATGTTCTTGAAAATAAAGATTTGTTGAAAAAATATTGCTGTTGAAAACCAGTCTTTCTGATGTTGGAAAAAGTAATTTCACATACCGTATATGTAGGCCTAAAGTACATTTTTTTCACTATTTTTGCTGTAATTTTTGTCATAGATATCAAGTAAGTTAAACAGTTGGTCTTCTTTTCCCCTACTTATCCTCTTTTCCAATTGTCTAAGTTCTCCTCTGCCTATTCAGACATCTGATAACCCTCCATAATCACTTCATTCATGACAGTTTTTCACTGGCAAATCCTTAGGTCAAATTTATCATGATGCTAATTACGCAACAGCCATAAGAAGGGGGACAGATTCATGCTAAGATGCCCAGAATGGTCCTGGGGCAGGGAAGGGAAGGCTGCTATTGGACCTCAGACTTCAGGTCTCTAAAACCTGAATCCAACACGACCTTCAGGCAAGAAATCATAGAGCAGCGGTTCTCAACTTTGGCAACTTTAAGACTTGTGGACTTCAACTCCCAGAATTCCTCAGCCAGCAAAGCTGGCTGAGGAATTCTGGGAGTTGAAGTCCACAAGTCTTAAAGTTGCCAAGGTTGAGAACCCCTGTCATAGAGGAAAGATTGAACCACCAGTCCAGCAAAGACCCCACATCATACTTTTTTTTTTGCAGAATGCAAGATAAGAAACAGAATATTAAGACTTTTCAGTTTCTGCACTTGCATTGTCCAAGGTTCCCCAAAACCACAATCAGTAATTGTGATCTGTGCTCTTGTTGTTTTTTTTAGTGCTATTTTAAGAATTTTGCATTGGCAGGCCAACATTCTCCTAATTTGGTGCTTTTAAGAAAAATTGGATTAGAAGCCCCATGATGGTCATTCTGGCTTGAGAATCTGGGCTCAATACTGCATATATAGATCATATCAGACTGAGGAAGGCTCAATCTAGAAGAGATAAAAAAATCTATTCTATTTATTATTATTATTATTATTATTATTATTATTATTATTATTAATTTAATTTATATGCCGCCCTTCTCCCAACGGGACTCAGGGCGGCGCACAACATACTTAAAACCAAAACATATATACAATCCCCCCCTTAAAACCGAATTAAACCAAATTTAGAGTTGCGTCTTTCAAATTCCTAAAAAACCCAGTATAAAATCCACCCTAGGTCAGGTCCGCTTGCTGAAAGAGCCATGTCTTGANCGGCAGAAGGCGGTCTCGGAGGTAACCGGGTCCTATGCCATGAAGCGCTTTAAAGGTGGTAACTAACACCTTAAAGCGCACCCGGAAGGCCACTGGCAACCAGTGCAGCTCGCGCAGCAGCGGTGTCACATGGGAGCGATGAGTCCCTCCCAACACCGCCCGCGCGGCCGCATTCTGGACCATTTGAAGCCTCCGGGTGTAAAGTTTTAAAAGTTTGATTGAGTCTGTAACTGCATTCAACAGCTGCCAAAACTCATCTGAACTGTTTTCAGCACTAATCTTATCACATACTCTAAGCAGGTTTTAAATTCCTCTTCTAAAATACTTATAATTTAGATTACCACTTACACTGAATTTACTTTTGAGGACCTTTAAGAATCTGAACAAAGGGCAAACCTGAAAACAGTTATTACTTCTTCATTGAATTAAAAAGATATATAATTTCATTAATAACTTATAATTTAGAAAGTGTCATTTTCTTCTTTTACAGGAGTATTATAATTTTATAGAGAGCATTTAAATATGCATTCTTCAAAGTAAAATTCAATACTTGTTTTTGTCTGAGTGGCAAAAAATCCTCAATGCTTTCATCACTTACAAGCACAATCACTGTTTTTCATTCTTTTTAATATATGCTTATCCTCTCAGCTGTGCAAATACATTCAGATCTACTATTATTATTACATCTTAGAAGGAAAATCTGCCCAGGTGCTACGGAGAAATGAAAATATAATCTGAACTAAGGTTTATCCAAATGGAAAATCATAGGCTTGTGAATATTTTCACTAGAGACAAGGAATATCTCCAAGAAATTAAAGTAATTAGGATTTACTGATCCAGGGACAGAAATTTGATGGATACTAGTTGGTAGCAAAGTTTTTTCTATTCTTTTTACTGCTATCTAGTTGTCATTGTGATTTTTGAAGGCCTGATCTGTTAGTGCTAGACAAAACATTAAAATAATACAACAGTTTTCAGAGAAATAACTATAGAAAACTCATAAGAAATCTTCATTTTCTAGAGCAAAAGTGTAGTTGAGTGACCCGCACACTTTATTGTGAACAGTCTCCACCCATTAACAAAATAACCTCAAATATTTCTTCCTGAAAATGAATTGTGTCTTAGCCTGGAAAAGCCAATCAAGAATTCAGAAAACAGACACATAAAAGGTAAGAACAAAAGATTTATCCAGATCCCCCTTGAAAGCAATATTTCAGAAATATTTCTGGAAAAATATACTTGTTTAATACAACTTCTCCTGCCCTATTAAAATACCTTTTGCAGAATTTAATAATTTAAGATTTATTAGCTTAACCTAATCTCTTAGAAGACAATTGCTGTCTTTCCTAATCAAAATGAGGGCACTATAAGACTCTAGTAAGGTTCAAGTCACACAGTTAACCTACTTTTGGGTGTTCACTATCCTTTTGCCTATCTTATCTCATAGGACTTCTATGAAGATCAGACGGCAAAAAATTGAAGGGTCCTTAGTGGTTTGTGAACTTGGTTGTTTTCTTGCAGACGTTTCATTACCCAAACTAGGTAACATCATCAGTGATGATGTTACCTAGCTTGGGTAATAAAATGACTGCAAGAAAACAATCAAGTTCACAGAGCACCATTCATTTCAACCCTGAGCTATAAATATTGTCCTTTATGGAAAAAAATTATTTTCATGGCAATTATGGAAGCCACAGCAATTGTGCCAGCCACCTTGAGCTCCTGGAAAAAAGATGGCCGTGAGAAATAAAATAAATGTGACTGCTTCTCTAGTCCTGGAACACAGCAAGTCTGTTAGTAGTCAGGAGTCAGCAATTCTCAGGACCGGTTTGCATAACAGTACTGTGTGCTGTTTCTTGCAGCATTACCATTAGCAAAAAAAAATAATATTTTTTTAATGTATCTAAAAGCAACTTGGGATGAAACAAAGCAAGTTGCCATTCTTTAAAAAGGCCTGGATGGCAACAATGGTACAACAAAGTAGATAACTTTGATTGACTTATTGATTATATTTCAAGAAGTGTTGACTCTTAGAACATACAGTAGATAGATTTTCTCCAAGCAATCTGTCCTTAACTTGTTTTTTCCAGATCTTCCACTGGTGCACCCATTGCTACAACCTCACTCTGCAGTTAATAACAAAAAAAACCTTCTGTTCCCAAATCAAACCAACATCTACTGAGCTCATAAAGCAATATGAGTTTACCATAGATTCAGAAAAATGGGCTGTGAATGTGACTCACCTCTACTAACATCCTCTACTAACTGTCAGCTATACTAGCAACCAATTACTGAGCTTCAATTTAAAAACAGAGATAACTTACTAAAATAAAATGTCTTCAAATAATGTATCCAGTGGCCATTTCTGTGCCATCAACCATGTTATCATGACTGATACATGAAAAGGCTGCCATTTCAACAAAAGTATCCTTCCAAACAATAAACATCTGTCAGGTTATTGCTCCATCAAATCTGTCAAACGTGACTTCTTTTTGCGCTCTAGGACAAGATGACACATTATGTAAAGGTCAAATGGGGGAAAAAAGTCCCTTCCACTACGCCATTATCATCCCTTGCTAAGGGTTGTTGTACTCAATAATTGTTGCTAACAAAAACAATGGTTTACAGGACAAGGAAATTATGCATCATGTTTTGCTTCATCTAAAAAATTTTCAGGACCAATCAACATTCCAATCCAGATTTCTTTTCCATATTTTTAAGAATACCATAGTTTATTTTCCTTTCTATTATATTTAATGCTATACATTAATATAAAATTATTAATTTATATTAATGTTAAATATTTAATTTATATTTTATATTTAAAACCATATGATGATAAGGGCAATGAACATGGCATGTATACATAATTAAAATCCCACATGTTACTTTTAAATTACCCTACAAAAGATGAGTGTTTATTTCCAAATACAAATATTTATCAAGGGAAAAAATAATTCTTCTAATCAAGATGGAGATTGAAGTGAATTCAGTGTAGAAAACTACACACTTCAAGTACTTCTTGTTTTAAGAGCTGGTAAATCTCTTTCATTTGATGTTTGATCTTACCAATACGTAGAAGTAATTCTAAGATTAAAAAAATGTTGGAGAGAAAACAAATTGTAATGATATGCTTCATAATCAAGGTTAATATCCATGTTCCCAAAAATCCCAAATATAAAATCACCGCTCTGCACTCTTATGTCTGCCCATCAATATCCTTGTTTTCATGTGGTTTAATCAAACAGACAAGAGTCTGTCTATATCAATAAACAGGGAGATTTCCCTAAAGTCAGTGATGGGATTCAGCAGTTCGCACCACTTCGGCAGAACCGGTAGCTAATTTTTTGTTGCCCAGGCCCAGAATGGACTTCTGGAAGCAGCATCCACACAGAGAACCAGTTGTTCACATATTTGAATCCCACCACTGCCTAAAGTCATCA